AAGCTGAAACCCGAGTGCGAAGACGAATTCAAATCGACGACGAATTAAGCCCACACTTTATTCACGTCCTCTCCCATATGATCGGAAGATCGGGGATTTTTTGGCCTAATTATGCTTTTTTGAGGGTGCATTGCAGACCGGGTTCATGTTCATTTGGCACAAGAAAATACTCAATAAGTGTATTAATGAGTATAAACTGTTGTCCTACTATTGGTTGGATAGTTTCATGGAGAGCTATTTATTTCTAAAAATATTTTTAAGGAAACTCAACAACATGAGCGCGGATCAAGCGCGTTGCAGATAAAAGACTCGACGCACGCCAATCGATGGTAGTAAAAGTAGAAATCAGTGAATCGACTTCAAGTTTAAAATTCGACACGTCAGGACAATAAATGCAGGCACCGAATCTACTGAAAGACATTCGAGCAAAGCCGACCGAATAGCCTGGAAGATTGAAGGAATCAAGGAACAGAAGCATTCCAAGGTCCGTTATACCAGGACTGCAAGGTTGGGCAATCAATATCCAAAGTATTCGCAGACTCTCTTATAAAAGAACGAGGATGAAAATACCTGTGAGAGGGTATCCTTAGGCATATAAAATTGCTTATAGGTCCCTCAGCATAGCTCGGCACAAACCGACGAACCAACGAGGCGATGAGGTTGACGAACCGCACGCAAGCAACGGGATACATCCATTCGAGCGGCGAATCAAGCCAACAGTTCGGGGAATCAACGAGTCATTCAAACAAGAACAGACTCGGATGAATCACGACCAAATCAAGATCGGTTTCGGACTCGAACTCAGAAGTGGATTTACTGCCAAATCAGGAATCCGACTTCCTGCCAAATCAGATCAACGAATCAGAATCTAAGTCAACCGAATCACAGACAGAACTGAGAAACGGATACAGCGCAAAACGACGGAAAAACAGCAAACCCAGAGGGGCTCGGCCAAAACCGAGCCGCCTCAAGGTGGCTCGGCCAAAGCCGAGCCACCCTGAGGTGGCTCGGTGGCCGAGCCACCTTGAGGTGGCCGGCCCAGAGCCGAGCCACCTCAAGGTGGCCGGCTGCACTGTGCCCAAGGCACAGTGAGGGTAGCCTATAAATAGGCCCCCTTTTGTTCATTTTCAAAGGTTGGACTTTTGAGAGCCGAAACTCTGCCGGATTGAAGATCGAGCTTAGAGTTTTGAAGACTTGAAGACTTGGACATCCAGATCTGATCCTCGGTGAGCATCCACGTCACAAAAGGCTGGAGTTCGAGAGAGGGGAAGAACAGATCTGAGATCTACATGAGATCACACTTCGGATCTAAGCTTGGTCTTAGATCCCGAGATCCGAGCGATTATTTCCTTAGTGAACTAATCCCTCCCGGCTATTATTCCCTTCGTGGAATAATACCCGTCAAATCATGTAGATCCGACCGGATCTAGATCGCGCGGTGGTCCACGGATTAACCCCGGCGTTGGCAAAGAACCCACAAAAGCGAGCGACCGCAAAACAGGAGCTCGCGATTTGTTCACAAGGAGAAAGTTGTAATTTTTTTTATTTTTCTTTGATTTCGTTGTAACCGGATCTAAAAAAAGACCGGATCTTTTGTAACCACAAAAAGTTGTTATTTTGAGATCACAATGAATTCAATGAAGAAAACGATTTTCCCCGCGAACACTTATATTCTATATTAGTTTTCTCCTCCAACAAAAATTTTAGTTTGACCTCCAAAAGTAACAACTATGTTTGTAAAATTCAAAATTTTGAATTTAATTAGTATCACAATCAATGGTATAAATAAAATTGACATAATCAAGCAATGATAAGAGACCAACCATTTTAGACACTCAGTGCAATTCAAGTTCAAGCACATTCGAAACTAATTATAATATCTAAGCTAAGTTCCTCATATCACATAGCGTTATTATGAGGCTGAGAGGTCATACCTTCTTTGGAAAGCTAAGTTCCTCATATCACATAGCGTTATTATGAGGCTGAGAGGTCATACCTTCTTTGGATCAAGTAGGTAATCATGCATACTGTTATGCTTCAAGAAAATAGTCATGCTCTTGTTTGTAGTAGAATACGAATAACCAGTTATAGTACCAAATTGCCACCTAAAAAGACTACTGAACTTGGGTCATAATAGGATTCACAAAGAGTAAATAAATTTAGAAAATTTAACATCAAGTCTAAAATCCACAATGATATTAGAAGGTTATGTTTTTTAAGATAATAAATGTACAAATGTGATCTAGGATCTAAACTAACAAAAATGTGAAAGATATTCAGCTCTGAGAAAGATCCTGCAAAAAAAACTAAGATCCAAGGCACATCCATCACATGGAAAATATAAAGTCAAAATTTGCCCAAGAATAACATAAATTTAATAAATCTAATAAAAATACAGAAAGAAAACAAATTCGATCGAAGTGGATGAAAATGTCTCTCACACCTTGCTTTAGGCCAACTTCTTTTTTGACGGTGTGATATTGAGCGCACTTCGTCTTGCTACATAAATTTATCACAAGAAATAGATCAAACAAGTTCTAGCCATCACTCTTTGAAGAGATCTAATTAGATAAAATCATAGAAATCAAACAAAACTAACCAATATGTACAAAGAGATCAGATGACGAAGAAATATAACAAAGCTCAAATTATGAAATGGATTTCATACCAGTGCTCTCTCCTTGTATAACCCCCTTCGATAAATGACAGGCTTGAGATTGAATTTGAAAGATGCTAACGCTGGTTAGATATTGAGAAGGAGGAGAACAAAGCATTGACCAAGAGGAAGGAAGACAGAGGAGAATGTGGAGTTGAGAGAGAAATTTAGATGATAGCGGAGATGGTGAAATGAGGGAGATATGAAAGATATAGTCAATAGAAATCAATAAAAGTTTAAGCGTTGTTGCATAATGATAAGGATAACGAACGGGAAACGAAAAGCCTTGGAGTTTCATTAAAAGCTCATGGCTATCGTGGATAATGTGAATGACTACATTAGCTGAAGGAATTTTTTGCATTATGCGTGGAGTTCAATTGGCCATGTCACTTGATGGAGATTTAAATTCAAGCCAAAGGGGTTGGTGAGTTTTCGTATTCAGCACATTAATTAATGAGTTATGGAAGGTTAAGAGTCTAAGACACTAATTAAAGCTTACTATTGTGATGAGGAGAAAATTAGAATTAAGTAATTTGTAAATGGCAAAATGGGTATGAAAATTTTTTGACATGAGTATTCTCTTTTATAAGTAGTATAGATTTATGAGAAAGTTTTTGTATTTTGATAAAGTTTTTGTATTTTGGTGGAAGAACTAGACTGTCTATCTAGTACAAATGTGATATGATAGTTAGGACGGATTTTTTTGTCGCGCCTTTGGTGCATACGGGAATTGAACCCAGATTGAGTACAATGTGATATGATAGCTAGGATGGATTTTTTTTATCGTGCCTTTGGTGTATATGTGAATTAAACCCAGGCCCCCCAAAAGGGAGCGATACGGCTTTGTCATGTGACCTAGTGGGCTGCCCTAACAGATAGGATGGATGTTAAATGTGTGGGGATAATTATTGCATTGGTGACTATGGTGATCGAGCCAAAGACGTCAATCTGATCAGAATGAGAATTGTTGAGATTAGATATTTTGTGTAGATAAGCTAACCTATCATTAGAACTTAGAAGTATAAGCATGAGGGTTGATTTAGTAAAGCTAACCTGAACCAATTTAGTTTCGATCCATGGGGAAGTAGAACAATCCCGTTCTATAATTGTGGGATACATTGAATCAGTCAATAATATTAATCCACATAACCAACTATAGAGACTCTCTACAGTCAACGGTGCAGAGAATCATTACCCCCATTGAACCATGGAAATTGATCTACAAAGAAACATGGTTACATATTAAGGAATTGCAACCAACCAGATGAGACGACACCCCCTGTATCGACTTGAAAAGCGGTGCTAGTCGACTCGAAGCCAGTCGACACGAAGCCCAACCGAACGAGACGACACCCCTTGTGTCGACACGAAAGGCAGTCTTAGTCGACATGCCCTGCGGTGCCAGTCGACACACCATATTAAGGAATTACAACCAACCAGATGAGACGACACCCTCTGTGTTGACTCGAAAGGCATTGTTAGTAGACTCAAAGCCAGTTGACACGAAGCCCGACCAAACGAGACGACACCCTTTGTGTCGACATGAAAGGCGGTCTTAGTCGACACGCCCTGTAGTGTTAAGCGACACGCCCTGCAATGTTAGTCGACACGCCCTGTGATTCTTTCCTATTGTATGATATTCTATAAATATCTCGACAGATCACTTATCGCTTTTAGTTCCAACAATATGTAACTAATTAGGTAGTTTCAGATTTTATGTAACTAGTTGATTCTCTTGTAATCCTATAAATATCTCCTAACATCAATGAAAAAGGCTAAGCCATTATTCAGCAATTACAATTCTGTACATAGTATCAGAGCAGCTCTGGACCTTCCGTTCTAGACCTCTTCCCACCACTCCTTTGCAAACCTTAGCCACGGTTTTCACCATGTCGACTGATTCTCAGATCACTGTCATCCCTAACCCAGAAAATCCAACCCAAAACCTTAAACTCATCAACACTTCCCATCAATCCATCCATAAATTGACCTCCACAAATTATATTACTTGGAAACTCCAGATTGAGGCCATTCTCATCGGCTACGACCTCTACAAATACATAGATGGATCTCATCCATGTTCTCCTCGCACCATCACCAACAACAACGTTGAAGCTCCCAACCCAGGTTTTTTGCATTGGATTCAACAAGACAAATTGCTATTTGGAGCCCTGTCAGTTCTAACTCCCCCTCTCTCATCCCTCTCATCTAACAGGAAACCACCTCCCGTGAAGCATGGCAGACTCTCGCCAACACCTATGCTTGACCGACACGTGGTCACATCAAGCAAATCAAGGATCAGATCAAGCGAGCAAAGAAGGGTTCACAATCCGTTTTGGATTATATGCAATATGTCAAGTACCAAACTGATCGCCTTGCTGCACTCGACAAACAAATAGACCATGAGGACATTATAGAGAAAACCTTAGAAGGTCTTGATGATGACTATCGTCAAATCGCTAATGTAGTAGAAGGCAGGGACAATCCCATCTCGTTTGAAGAGCTTCATGAGAAACTCATCAACAGGGAACTCACGCTTCAGCAGTTGCAATATGTATCAATTCTGCATCCCGCCACGACTAATGCTGTGTCGACTAGGTACAGTGGTTCACAATACTCCTCGTCCAACAAGGCGCAATCTTCACACTCCGCTCCTGGATAATAGTCGTCTTAGTTTCTGCAAGTCGTGTCTCACTAGCAGAGGCCGTATATCGGCAAGTGTCAAGGATGCTGACAATAAGGCCACACCGTCGCTCAATGTCCTCTCTTTCAGCTAGTACCCACCTCCTCACAAGGCGTCACTCGCACCTCGCACGTTGGATCTCAGTGGCAACCAAAGGTGCTTGTTGCCATAGAATCAGATGCCGAAACTCCAACATGGATACTCGACAGTAGGGCATCTCACTATGTCACAACCTATCTCGGCAACCTCTCCCTTCATGCTCCATACGATGGATCTGACGACATTATTATCAATGATGGTATTGGGTTACACATTTCCAAAATTATCTCCTCTTCTCTTAAAGCATCCTCCCATACATTTAAATTAAATGATATTTTATTTGTTCCTAACATAAAAATAAATCTTATTTTCATATCTTAATTTTGCAAATCAAATAATACGTCCATTGAGTTCTTACCATCTTCCTTTCGTGGGAAGAATCTACTGTCAGGGGCAACACTGCTAGAAGGACAACCTAAAGATGGTGTGTATGAATGGTCGACCTCGCAACTCGCACCTCATCTTTTGGCCCACTCCAGTGTCAAAGTGTCTTCTAGTGACTGGCATCATCATCTTGGTCACCCATCTGAGTCAATCCAACGTCATATCATCTCTAAATTCGGTCTAGCTTTAGATTCATCTAATTCAAAGCAATCTCATTGTAGTGTCTGTCTTTGCAATAAAAGTCATAAATAACCTTTCTCTCACTCATCAATTGTATCTACTTCTCATCTTCAAACTATTTATTCTGATGTGTGGACTTTGCCTATTTATTCTGTCGATGGTTACAAATACTACATCATTTTCGTAGATCACTTCACTCACTACATATGGCTTTACCCTCTCAAACGTAAATCTGATGTCGCCACTATTTTTCCTCGTTTCAAAGCCCTTGTTGAAAATTACTTCAAAAAGAAAATAATAACCTTCTACTCAGGCAATGGGGAGGAGTACATGGGTCTCGCCAAATCCACTAGACTGGCGACATATCTATCCATAAATGGCATCTTGTATCTCACCTTACCACCTCACACTCCAAAACATAATGGTTTTTCGGAATGTAGACACCATCATATTGTTAAAACAGGTCTTTCCCTTCTCTCTAAAGCCTTCTTACTACCCTCCTTCTGGTCATATGCCTTATCCACTGCAGCCTACCTCATAAATCGTCTCCCTACACCCACTCTTCATATGACATCTCCTTTTCATAAACTCTTTAAGTCGCCACCAAACTACTCCAAACTTCGAGCTTTTGGCTGCCTATGTTATCCTTAGCTTCGTCCATACTCACCTCACAAAATTGTCAATCGCTCCACACCTTGTGTCTTCCTTGGCTACTCTCTTACACAGAGTGCTTATATATGTCTTGATCCACAAACTCAAAAGACTTTCATCTTTCGTCATGTTCAAATTTTTGAGTCCGAGTTTCCTATGTCTAAATTCAATTCGCATCTCGCTCGCCCCGATGAGTCGACATACGACACCTGGCTCTTACATCGTGTCATTATCCTGGCTTCATACACATCATCTGAAGCTTTTTCTAGAACTCCCTTCCCGTCGACTCTAACACACAAACGGATATGGTAGAACACCAAACCTTGCCTCTCGCCCTCCCTCTCCCTCTTCCCAACCCACCTTGCACTTTGCCTACCACCACAAATGCCTTGCCTCCACAACTACCCGTCCCAATACTTGAACCAACACCTAACAACTTGCTAGCCATTCCCCTAGCCTTACCCCCACCTGTCCAAGTCTCAGACAACCCTTTACCATCACCTTCGACCCACACCTCGCCTATCATCACTCATTTCCGAAACAACATTCACAAACCTATCAACAAACTTAGCCTCTCTGCTTAATTCACCACAAATATTAAACCCACATGTGTAACTCAGGCTATCAAAGATGACATATGGCGACAGTCGATGTCTGAGGAGTTTGATGCCTTAGTTCGTAATAGCACCTGGGAATTGGTACCTCCCAATGGTGTGCAAAATATTATGGGGGTGTAAATGGATTTTTCGACTTAAGCGCTTACCTGATGGCTCTATAGACAGGTACAAAGCTTGCTTAGTGGCAAAGAGGTTTCACCAAAGACCAGGAGTGGACTACCATGAGACGTTTAGTCCGGTTGTAAAGCCGACCACAGTTCGTCTTGTCCTCTCGCTTGCTATCAGCCGAGGTTGGCATCTTCGTCAACTCGATGTCAACAATGCCTTTCTACAAGGCACCCTCACTAAAGATGTCTTCATTGATCAGTCTTAAGGTTTTGTTAATGTTGATAATCCACATCATGTCTGCAGATTGCGAAAGGTGATCTATGATCTCAAACAAGCTCCTCGAGCCTGGTACAATGAGCTTCGACAGTTCCTTCTTGCATCTCGCTTCTTGAACTCAGTCGCTGACACTTCCTTGTTCATTCTCAATGACAATGACATAACTATCATGTTACTTGTTTACGTTGACAACATCATCATCACGGCAATAATGCAGCATCAGTTTAGGACTTCATCTTGGTTCTCGCATGTCACTTTTTGGTCAAAGACCTCAGACCACTTGAATATTTCCTTGGAGTTAAAGTTGTTTCTTACCCTCAAGTGCTTGTCCTCTCACAGTGAAGATACATTGCTGACTTGCTAGCTCGAACAACGATGATTGATGCTCGCACTGTCGCAACTCTACTTGCCACCTCACCCATCCTTACACTTTAGTCGGGTACAACCCTTACTGACCCAACCGAGTTCCGAGCTATAGTTGGGAGTCTTCAGTATCTCTCCCTCACTCGTTCAGACATTGTCTATGTAGTTAACAAACTTTCACAATATATGCATTGTCCGACTACAGACCATTGGAACGCCACCAAGCGACTTCTCAGATATCTATGCGGCACCATTGATTACGACATTAGGTTACATCATCAATCCTCTCTTGTTCTCCATGCCTACTCAGATGTCGACTGGGCAGGTAACAAATACGACTTCACATCCACCAGTGCCTACATTGTATATCTTGGTCGAAAAACCCGATATCCTGGAGTTCAAAGAAACAACGAATAATGGCTCGCTCCTCGACTTAAGCTGAGTACCGGTCGGTCGCTTCGACGGCTGTCGAGTTGAGATGGATCACATCTCTTCTCGGTGAACTTGAGTTCAAGTCATCATAATGTAGGTTGTTTAAAAATAACTGTAGATAACTAATCCCCATCAAATACCAATGATGAAAGTTATAATTTGACGGCTTCCAAAAGGCTACAATTTGAAAACTTTTACGTAGATCGATGAATGTTACAATCTGATGACCTTCACAATAACTAATGAAAGCTTTAATCAACAGCCTTCACAATCAACATCACGAGTTATAATCTAACCACTCTCACATTTTTAAGGAGCCAAGATGAAGGTTATAAGATGACGATCTTTGTAACACTCTAGCAAAAGAGACTACAAATTGACGGTCTCTTCAAATCAAAACGCAGATATCTCTCAAACTGTAAGGAATTTGGCAAAACAGACAAGAGCAAACTGAACCTTATGGGTCAGTTTAGTTGGCTTCATCTCGTCGAGATAGTCAATTTTCATATATAATTTGTCTAATTCTAACTTACGATTTAAAAGTTATGACCTGTTCTTCGTAGCAAGTTATGTTCCGAAGTCCGTCTGTAGGAATGGACTTTGCCTGAACATTGGACTTAGCCTGAAGCTCACCAAGCTCGCCTGAGGCTCACCTATGTGTTCCAAAGTCAAAACACAGAGCTAATGCCCGTGTTCCAGGTGCAAAACACAGGGTTCATCCACAGCGTTCAAGTCCAGACACAGAGCTCGTGGCCATGTTCCCAGAACAAAACGCAGAGGTCCTCCTTGTATTGCAACACTAAAACACGGAGGTCCTCCCTGTGTGTCAGCAACAAAATACAAAGGTCCTCCCTACGTTGCTATATCCGCAGAGGTCGGTCGGTCCAGCTTCACAACATCAAAACACAGAGGCCATGCTTGCGTTTCAGATTCAAAATGCAGGGTTCATCCCTATCGTTTCAGTTGAAAACGAATAGTTCGTGGACTCAAAATGCAGAGTGCATCTCTGCGTCCTAACTTTGCATTTTAGATTTACAACGCTGTACGAACTCAGCGTTTTTAGCCTAAAACAGGCCCAACTCTGTATTTTAAGTCTAAAACGCAGAGTTCGAGCCTATAACATCGTTTTTGGCGTTTGGCTCGTTCAAGCTCGAGCTGAGCGGTTCCAGAAACCATTTTCCCCTATAATTGGAGAGATTTCCGCCCCACTTAGGAACGGATTAAGGGAGCAGTTACACCCCTTAATCCCCCTATAAATATGGATAAACTCATCTGAGTTCGGGGCTGGCTTTTTAGGGGAATTACTGAAGAGTTGAGATCAACAATTATCACTTTGAGCATCTTCGGATCTTGGAAGGCCTGGAGCATCATCAGGAGCCATTCTTGGAGCTTTCCTACTTAGCTTATAAACTAATTTTCGATTCAAATTAACTATGTTATAGAGATTAAACTCGCTCTGAGTTCTTAAACTCGGTAAGAGTTATTTTCAAACTTACCACGCAAGTTATCCTTGATATCAACAAGAGGAATCAACCACGTTCTAGTGAAACAAGACGTTCGGATCGTCAATGATATGCAAACTCAACGCCAGCATTCGAGGAAGGCATCTCATCGCCACCGTGAAGAACCCAGAATTAAGCAAAGGAGAGGATTTATATTGATTCTCTTCTCTTTTGTAATCAAAAATTCAAATTGTAATCAGTTAGATATTGAGAGAGAGTTGTAAATATTCTTTTTCTAAGAAGTTAGAGGGAATAAATCAAATTCAATTCTTTCATTTTCTTATTATAATTTTTCCATCAAAC